AATTACTATATTTAATTAAGAGATGGTGGATCAATTTTTTATCAGTTTTGACAGGTTATCGGTTTTGACAGTATCGGGTTTGACAGGTTATACTGTATTTTCGTGTATAAAGCAATCAAACCATACAATTCACCCCGTAACATTGGAAAAAAGGTTGACTCTATTATAAATAAACTTATCTCGTGATATAAAACGACGTGTGAAAATCTGTGAATATAAAAACCTTTTATGAACAAACGAATGCAGTGTTGAAAATTTGTTGTGCGTGTATTGTTTTTTGCACAAAAATTAACAGTATGCACAAAAAATAAAATAACATTCCTGTATAAAAAAAATTTTTGGCAGCATATTTGAGCCGAATTTTTTTCAACACGATATGACAAAAGGAGGGGATGTACATATATTATTACAACATTTAAGGCCATTTTTGCATGCAGCGCTCAAAATACAATCAGCTCCTACACCTCGTGTATCAGATATTTGACATTTGTTTGCATCATTATTATTTGCGATACGACAAATTTCAGTACTACATTCCCCATCCCCTTGACATTTTGAACCTTGTGTTAGGGGATTATTCGTCTGTCTTTTAAGATCGATACTGACCGCACTGGCAAGGATGAGAAAGAGCATCCCGAAAAACATGATTAAGAAAAACTTTTTTGTCTGGAATTTGGACATTTTTGTTCAAATGTGCTGTAAGTTTTTTTTTTAATAATTAAGTGAAAATGTTCTTGTTTTGTTTATTTACGAAATTATTGCAATTGATGAGGTGTGTACATACTATCGTATTTTTATATCTTTCAGCAATTGTAATATCTAAAATCAAAGTTTACCATATTGGTAACGAGAAATAAGATTAATATCTAAAAATTTATCATACTTCGGATGTCTGACTCTTAATCATGAAACAGATGGTCTAGGGCACAATTACTTGTACACCCGGAGGATCCTTTCAAAAATAGAACAAATTATCCGAAATCGTACACAAAATAATGATACGAATTTTGTAAACCAAATAACATGGTTAAATTACGACGCAACAGTAAGAAAACAAATACAAATCGGAAAAACCGACTAATATTGGTAACATTGGCAACCAATCCTTTATAAAATTCACGATTGGAAAATAATTGCTTATTAACGCTTAGAAGCAATTGTTAGCGTTTGCGTTAAATTACTTTTCTGGGAAATTTTGGGTTTATTGATATTTAATTTTGGTCCTCGACTTTGCTTTTTTTTGGTAAATTGTAGAAGATTCTCTATTTTTTCGCTAGCTAATCTAAAGCAGCGACTCGAAGCGTAGCGCAAGCTAAATTGCGCTCAAATTTTTTTTCGCTTAACGGACAACAACTGTATATATAAAACTGCATAAATAAAACCTTGCGTGCTACGTATAATTATCAAATAGAAAATAATCACTAACCTTATAAACAAAAAATAAATTTTTATCTCTATAATTATTGTTATATGAAAGGGTGAAACCCGCGACAGAGATAGTTACGTTGTTGATGCAGATCTTACTTAGTTAGGGTTAGTGATAGGTTAAAATAAATTGTGATTTACATGTAACAATATACATCGCACAATTTCACTAAATTATTAGGATAATTTGTTTAGATATATGATTATTTTATATGCATATAAAAATAGAGATGCAGGCTTGACATTAATGTTAAAAAAATTTATATAAACCCTTTGAGTATTATTAAAAGCTATCAGTTTTGGGTAATTATAAAAAATATTTCAAGTTAAACTTTCGTTATTAGAAAATTGGACGATCAAGAGATATTTAGCGTTTTTAAAATTTGCTATAAATAATAATTTTAATAGATTATGAATATGTATGAAACTTCAATTTTGTTACAAATATAAATTTAATAACTAAATTTGTAAGATTATTTGTAGCAAATTTCGCATATTGCTACCTAGAAAATGATAACAATTGGATCGTATAAAAATGAAAATTGATATACTCATATTTGGTTAGATTAAACTATAAAACCCGCAAACATCCGAAGACACCAAAACTGTAATTCCTAATGAATATTTTGAAATTTGCAAAAACAAAAGCGTAACTTTGTAGCTCTAGAGAAGGCTTGAATAATGGTTTATTTTTTTGAGAAACTTCAACTATTTCTCGAGGAGAAATAATTTTTAAAAAAGGCGTAAGAATTTTTCAAAGGCTAATAATTGGCAAGGTGCTGTTTGATTGATTGAGTTCTCATTACCAATCCGAAATCCAATTCCTTAAGTGGCGCGACTAGATGATTGCACCATAGCAATTTTAAAAATAAGCATATTTAATTATTTTACTTTCGTATTTGATTAGTAGATTAAACATAGTGATTATTTTGACAATTGAGATATTTAAAATTAGCTATTTATTCCTTATTATTATTCTATATAATCAAACCGCTATTATTTTGAAAATTTTTTATTAATTTATAAAAATGTTATTGTTCATTTTTTGAAACATCTAAATAAAAAAAGGATTTAAGCTTTTCCACTTTTTGGTTAATCTTTTTCGGCTCATGTATATTATATAAACAATGAATAATTTTATGTCTTCTTCTACAATATACGAATTTTACCCTGTTATTTTTTCGTCTAGCAAAATTTTGATGTTATTGTTGTGATATTGTGCACATATATAGATTTGGAGAATTAGCTGTTTATCTAGATATATTTTATTCTCAATACATACTATACCGTTCCGAAATTAAGCACCCCCGAAATTAAGCAACTCAAAATTTTGCATAATACCCGAAAATAAGCACTTTCTACGTATAGTCGTATCGGATTTTTTTCAAGGTAAGTGTACTTTCTGTTTCTAAGCAAAGCTATTCTCCAGGCAAAGACGATTCTAACGATGTTAAAATCATCAGAATTGGATTGGTAGATAATTCACAATTACTTATCGAAGTTCTTGTGACATTTCGTTTTTTCTTTTTTTACATGATTTATCATGTAATCGAAATGTAAACAAACGTCGCACGAACTTTGAAGAGAAATTGTAAACGTTCAACCGGTCCAATTTTGATGATTTTACCACCGTTAGTAGGGTTGTTAATGGAGTACTCCAGTCTATAATAAAACATATAACCCACCTCCGGAGTGCTCCGGAGTGGGTTATATATTTTATTATTGTCCGGAGAACCCCATTAGCAACTCTAACCGTTAGAATAGTCTTTGTCCGGAGAATTGCTTCACTTATAAACTAAAGATAGATTCTTAGTACAAAAATCCCCTATAATTAATTCTTAAAATTATATCCGAAAATAAACACTCCTTATAACAAAAAAAGGGTGCTTAATTTCGGAACGGTACGATATTACAAATATTTTAATGACACATGCTAATGCCATTAAATTCTGATATAATTTATACGCAAACTTATTTACTTTAATTTAAATAAAGAATGTGTAAAATTAAAATATCTCAGCGTTGGATATACATGCATTATGATGGAGGCGTAAGAGAATTAAAATGGGAATATCTTTCAATATATGTACGACATTTTTTCAATTATGACTTTATTCATTTATAATTTATGTAGCATTTTTGTCATATGGTAATATTTAAGCTGGTAAGGAACCAAACTTCTAAATCACTTATGCAAGAAATTCATAGAGCAAAAATTTCAATCAATATTTTATTCTTTAGATATTTCTTACCTCAACAGGTTCGCCTAAATGAAATTATCAAAGTTTATAAGGATGAATATTATGATTGAAAAAATGTCCTATGTTTGAAATGATAAAATTTTTTGGTCATTATGTACCTAATGCTAGATATATATATATTTTAATAAAGTTTAAAGCATTAAATCGATATTTGAAACTTTTAGTAAATAAAAGTGTAGTATATTGGTATTATTTACGAAGCACTATCTGCAATTACTATTGTCACGAGGCAAAATGACATCATAGACAAACAGGTTTATAATTTAGCTCTAAGGCTTAGATAATTTATGGAGTTCATCGCCGATAAGAGGATGAGCCACTATACAAAAGTTCCGTTTAAGCCTCACTAATCCTTTAAGTTATAAAAAGGACGTAACTTGGTTAAGGTTGGTTACGACACATACGTGCGAGGAAGGGGAACATAAACTCACTAAACCGATAATAACTCCCTTATATTATATGACCCAAATCACCAATGTCACGCCTCTGGCGAGTTGCCTTATATTATAAAGTCTATAATTTATAGTATAGATTATCGATCGTATAATTCACCCGGTAACACTATACAATACATGTACGTACGTACGTATACGTAAGAATTTTTTTTGTAATAATCTTTGTTACACTAAAAATACAAATATGCATGGCGGACAAGCATGAAAACTTTTCAAAATTACATTTTTGATAAACAATGGAAATAACTAATGAGCTAATCAAAAACGTAACAATTGTCGTAAATTTTGTATTACGTACTTTGCTAAACTTTAATCTCTTTCGCTACGTTGCAGACAATTAAATTGTACTTATTTAGTGCATAAATTTTTTTTTTTAAAAAAAAAATGGACTCTGAACAACTTCATCAACTAGGTCACAATTATCAACATGGTATTGGTGTTCAGAAAAACGAAAAGAAAGCTTTTGAATATTATATGAGAGCTGTTGAGTTAGGAAATTCAAATGCAATGGTTGAAGTTAGTATTTGTTATAGCCGTGGAATAGGAGTAGAAATAAATTACCAGAAATCATTTGAATATTGTAAGAGGTCAGCTGATTTAGGCAATGTTATAGCAATCAATAATCTTGGTTTTCGGTATAAATATGGGGTTGGGGTTGATCAAGATTATAATAAAACATTTGAATACTACGAAAAATCCGCTAATATGGGCTATAATTTAGCGATGAGTAATGTTGCTCAATGTTATCGCAACGGTACCGGTACAAAGAGAGATATTCAGAAGGCAAATTATTGGATCAAAAAATATAGAACTTTCCTGAAAACTAATAAATCACCTGATCATATCAATCCTGAACTTAAGAGAATATTAGACGTTGAGAGATTTAAATTATCTTGGATTGATTATGATGACTTTAAAATTATTAGCGAAGAAGGAAAAGGAGGGTTCGCAACTGTATATAGGGCAACTTGGTTCGATAAAATTAATAGTAGATGGAAAGATGTTGCACTTAAAGTGATTCGTGATTCAAATAAAAATGTGCAAGAATTTATCCAAGAATTGAGTAATTACTGTGAAATTGGTTACGAGAATCCTTCATTCTTGGAATGTATTGGAGTGTCAAGAAATAATTACGGTGATTATATTATTGTTATGGAAATTGCACCAAAAGGTTCATTACGACAAAATCTTGTAGAAGTATCACAATTGGAATGGAAAGATAAATTGAATATTTTATATGGTGTAGCTTTGGATCTCGAATCGATTCATTTACAGGATTTCGTTCACAGAGATTTACACTGCGGAAACATTTTGCAAGGAGATAATCTACAATACGTATATATTACTGATCTTGGACTTTCTAAAAAAGTAAAGGAAGGAAAAATTTGTGGAATTCTGCCATATATAGCACCTGAGGTTTTGGTGGGTCAGCCGTATACTCTAGCATCAGATATTTACAGTCTTGGAGTTATCGCGACAGAGATTTCAACTGGACAAAGAGCATTTGATG